TATTTCTATGCTGGTTATATTTAATTTAAGCTTTCTTCTAACTCAGGTACTGCAACATCAGTATTATTTTATTTACTATGCTAATTGGAGATATTTTTAAAACTCAGCTAAAGACTTCCTTTTATAACTAACTTTTAACTAATTATGGTCTTTTTATTTAACTTATATTAATAATACCTTTTTTAATTTCTAATTTAGTATGGAATTCTTTAGTAAGTAATTTCTTGCACAATACCTTGATTTTATCAATAAAATATGATTAAATGTCTAAATATTCTTTTTTTGTTTCATGTCCAAAATTAAACATTTCAGTCACAATTCAAAATTCATTTTTTTAAATCTCCTGAGACCTGTTTGTGAAATTAATTGAAATGATGGTGTTATTAAAATTATTTATTTAAAATTAATTAGTTATTGGTTACAAATTGAAATAAAGAGTATCTGACAATTTTCATGAAGCAAGGCATAGGAAATATGAAAAATTTGTACTGATTTAAGAAACCTCATCTTTCTTCATCCATGAGTTACCGGAGTTCATTGTTATTTTAATTTTTTATTTTGCTAATTTAAGTCATATATTGTATAACTGACCAGATATATATTGTATAACAGCATGGAGGTCTTTAACTTCACAATTTCTGAGTTTTACATCATTGGTTTTCCTGGAGTGAAGAATCTGGATATTTTCTTATCCATGGTTTTCTTTATCTCATAAATTCTCACGCTGATTACTTTCACAATTCTTTAAATCATCAAAAAGCAGCCAAAGACACACACCCCAATGTTCTTCATTATTTTCACCCTGGCTGTGTCCAACATCATATTTACCACATCTGTGACCACAAAAATTATTTCAAGATACATAAATGTGTTTGGTTCAAATGTATTTTGCACATGCTATCTGGAGTGCAGATGCATTCATCTTAATGCTGATGGCGATAGATTGCGGCCTTGCAGTCTGTTACCCACTGAGATATCCCTCGTTTATGACCAATACAAGGGCCATTCAGTGGTGCTGCACCATGGTTTTTTTGGGAATGCTGGGGCCTATCACAGTATTTGTATATGCCCTCCGGGTACAATTCTGTGGTCCTAATGAAGTCTTTCATTTTTTTGTGAACATAAATGGGTTATAATGTTGACGTGTGCCGACACTTCTATTAACATCCACGCAGGAGTTGTGGTGGCAGCGGTTATAATGATCATCCCATTCATGGTGATTACGCTGTCGTACCTGAGCATCATTATCACTGTCATGCAGATTAAGACAGCCCATGGGCGTCAAAAGGCTTTTTTCTTCCCAGGTTATTTGTGTATTTTTCTTACGTGGCAGGTCTGTATTTAAATCATGAAATAAGAATCTCTCTTGGCATTTTGTACAGTCTACTCCCACCCGTAGTAAATCCAATCATTTATAGCTTACGGACAAAGGAAATAAAGGAGGCTATCATAAAGATGTTCAAGAAGAAAGACATAAAACTCCAAAATGAAGAACAACAAAGTGTGCACAGGGAATGAGTCAAAACAAAGTCCTGTGAAACATGACTGGCCAGCGCTATGAATTCAATTATTTTAAACTTTAACAACAGCAGCAATCCAATGGTGAAGACCCAAAATTCAATGCAGTTGATGAGTTTTAGGAGCACAAATTTACATAAGAAGATATAGAATTCTGCATATGACAAGAATAAGAAATAGAATATTGTTCATGCCTCTAGGAAAAAACATTTATATAAACCTACTCATAAAGTAGACTGTAACTTAGCTGTCTGGATTCTAAACTGTTTTAAAATGATTCCATAATTTTGTAAAAAAATACATTCTGGAACACTATTTTAATTGTGTAATGAATCACTGTAAATGTGGGCCTGCCATTTTAGAGGGTTTTAGTCACTTTTTCTTCTTTGAAGAACCACATGCATCATAGAACATGACCTTGTGACCTCTAGCACAGATGCAAACATTTTAACTATACAGCTGTGTAAAAAAAACATACTAGGCAGTACATGCATGTAGTTTTGTGAATTTACTGGGACAATTTTTAACTGTAGCAGTAATCACGAGGTAATTCATTATGGCTACTAGAAAATCAATCGATCAACGACGCACACACACGGCTTCAATACACGAGATGCACTTATTAATACATAAATTGTGCATATAAAACATACTGTATAACAGTCTGCCTGGATGCAGATGGCAGATCTTACTGTGAGGTTATCAAAGTGCAAGGTATATAATCATGAAGAGGTGAGAGATACAACAAAGAATATGCTTCAGTATACCATTCGGCTATTCATTGATCATTCTCATTAATATAAATTCTACATTAGCTACTCAAAAGTAAATAAGTTACTCATATGAATTGAATTGATATCAACTTGTGTTGAGGTAACAATTGAATTCACAAGATGCAATGTAGAACCTTGGGTTTACTTATCCAGATATGGATTAATATTTCCCAGCACAGACACCAAAAACAAGCTAGCAGCTGCATCCAATCGAGCTGCGTTCAATAGGCATCATCCTGGTGTCCTCTTGCTCCAGGCCAACCAGTCAGGGAGCAGCTCGGAGTCGGACGAATTAGGAGGAGAGATTTCTGCTGAGGCGACACGCCTGACAGTGTATCTCCCGAGGACCTACTAGTAGTCCTGCTGACTAGTAGAAAGTCTCTATGCACAGAGGGTGACTGCAGGTCAGAGCAAGTCACCCTTAATGAAACTTGGTTTGCTTCTGGTGTAGCGCTGCTGAATAAAAACGTATTCAGGTTGTCAACAAGAGTCCAAACGTATACTCCGGTGATCAAGCGAAGCGTCCACGTTGGCGTTGGCTAGCGATTTATGTACGGGCATTTCCCAGGCCGACACTTTGCTGAAACAAGGTTCTAGTCCCTATACAGACTATCGTCCATCACATGATTGTGTCTGAGGGTGTGAGAATTGGCTGGAGAAGCAAAGTTTCTGAGCTGTGCAGTGTCTTTTAAACCAGAACCAAGAGAGGTGATGATTGCTCGAAAGTTTAGAGGCCATTTCAGACCCACGTGGGGTTACCACGCCCTGCAGGTTCCTGATTGGTTGGTCAAGGTGAGAGATGAGTAACAATGACCTCTGACATCTAGGACCACAATCCAGCTGTTCCCAAAAATCTCACAGACAGATAGGCGCCAGGAATGGCCATTGAACGTGATAGCCAAGCATGGGTAGGCGCATCCCCATTTGGGAACTGCTCCTTATCTGAGAGAAAACACCTTAAATCAAAACTGCATGAATAGCTTGAGAAAGAGAGACGGGGCCTCATTTAGGAAAGCATAGCAACACTTAATTCTGGCTTATTAATCAGCATCGCTGCTACATGCACAAGAAAGGAAAACAAGCGTCAACAAAAATACTGATCTGTATCCATAACAAGAGGGTCTGTTATGTCCAGTTTTCTGTTTTTCTTTCTTTTATTGGTTGTTCAAACAGTGTACTCTGAGATCCTCATTCAATCCACCCTGAGGTCTTCACATTTCTCTGTGAAAAACGATGTTTCAGTGGGAAAATAAGCAACTTTGAGTTCAATTAAGAACCCTGGAGGTGTCAGAATTTAAATTTAAATGTTTCACAGGACTTTGTTTTGACTCATTCCCTGTGCACACTTTGTAGTTCTTCATTTTGGAGTTTTATATCTTTCTTCTTGATATAAACAAAGATAATTTTACAGGTTACTTCTCATGATGTGTAAAAGTACTGTAGGAAGAATACTATGTCCAACTAATTTTGATACATTTTTGTTTACCAGGAAGCCTCATCATCACCATCTTATTCGTTATATACTCTCTTCCTCATCTTTGCTGTACTTATAACTCTTTTCAGCCATAACTTTTTATTGCTACCCCATTTTTCACACTCTATCCCTTTAGCATCATAGGAATTAGCCATGCAGAGTGAATTCCATTCATATTTGCTACACTGTGTGTTCTTTGCAGTGTATACTTGAATAACACCTGATCAACTGATTCACTTGATAAAGAATTCTCGGCAGTATTTCTGCTCAAGTCATTCACTGACAATAATAAATCATTCAATCCCAAGCTTTTCCAAAGGAACACAGCAACAGCAGCACAGAAAGTAAATATGCTTTCTAGTGGTGTGTTTGTTTGTCAGCAGAGGTCATACGTAGTTACACTATGTTTATCAGGGGAACCTTTCAAGCATGGGGGAATTAAACTGCATTTATATAAAGGTTTGCACACTGATTTAATGAAAATTATTGATGTGTTATCAAGGTAAGAAAATTTCATCTTAAAGAATAAAGAGATATATTGTAGTACTATCACACGTTTATGATTCTCTTGCAGTAAACATTTCCCTTAAATGGATTTTTACTTTTCAAAAATAACATAAATCAATACCATTTTTATTCTGCTTACCTTAAAATTGCAAAACCTGCACAATGAACTAATGCATGCTTTTGTTATATCTAAAAAAGTATCTGCCATACATTGTAACCACTATGGTGCTTAAGATTTTTGTTTTTTCATGAACTGAGATTTAAATTGGTAATGAACAAACAGTATTCGGAAATCAGATTTAGCCTTTTTGAATAATTTTACTATAGGTCAAAGTAACCATTGTCACTGAAGTTAAAAAATAGAAAAGTACCTTTAGCATCAAGTTATGCTATCTGTGTGCCCCCTCCACATATAATCTACCTAAGAAGAAAACGAAAATTGTCTAAAAAGATCTTATTGCAAAAAAAGATTCATGATCACTATTTTAGGTAGAGCACCATGATCTAGAATGAATGTTATCGGGGTCTTGAGGTGTTGACATTTTTAAAGATTTTTTAACTCCACTGGTGTGGATGTGTTTACAAGTAAATACGACAAATTCAATAAACCATACAATCAATAAACCATTAATGCTGTATGTGTTAAATGTTAACTAAGTCGCTGTATGTTTAAGCTAGATCAATTTGTGTTTCAGATTTCTTTCTCACTCCGAGGACATCGGTTCACCATGTCAGACACAAACCAGTCATCCATAAAGGAGTTCATCATTGTTGGCTTCCCAGGACTTCAGCCTCAATACCATTCACTTGTGGCTCTGGTTTTCTTTCTTGTCTATGTGACCATTTTGATCGGCAACATCCTGACAACTGCTTTGCTTTTCTTAGAAAGAAGTCTCCAGAAACCCATGTATTATATCATTTTAAACCTTGCTTTGTCAGACATATGCTTCAGCACAGTCACTTTGCCCAAGATCATTGTCAGGTATTGGTTTCAACTGAAGAGTATTTCATTCGTGGATTGCTTTGTCCAGAAGCAGTTAGTACATTATTTTGGAACACTGAATTCATTCATCATGATGCTGATGGCTTTGGATCGCTATGTGGCAATATGTTTCCCTCTCAGCTACCACATGCTGATCACCAACAGGACAATCTTGATCCTTAGTTGCATGCTATGGCTGATATCCTGGATCTTCCCCACTGTGACTACAATTCACCAGTTAGCACTGTATTACTGTGGGCCCAACACAATTAATCAGTGTTACTGTGAATCTAATTCTATAACAAAATTAGCATGTGATGACCCCACGTCCAGCATGATGGTATCCTTTGCTTTATCTATGTTTGTTTTGCTGGTCCCACTGTCTTTCACCATATTTTCTTACAGTCAGATCATTATCTCAGTCCTGAGGATTGCAAACTCCCAAAGTCGCTATAAAGCCTTTTCTACCTGTAGTGCACAGTTGGGTATCATTGCTCTGTATTATGTTCCTCGCTGTGTTGTGTATGTAACAAACACACTGCGCATTATAATCCGTATTGATTTCCATATCCTTCTAGTCCTGTTATACAGCCTGCTTCCTCCTATGTTGAATCCACTAATATATGTCATCAGGACTACAGAGATCAAACAGTGCTTCATCAAAAGGTTCAGGGGTATGATAGTCTCTTCTGTTAGCAACTAAAAAACAAAAGTAAAAAACAATTTAAATTTAATGTCAATTTGTCAATAAATGTCAACATATTAACATCTTAAATACTACAAATTTAAAATTTTAAGTCAAAACAATTATTTGAGTATGGTGTGCTTGCTCTAAAGAGCTCTTATGCATTGCTGAAACTCTTGTCTTCAAGAGCCTTGAAGACAAGGGATTACACGTTTTGTAGTCTTTAGAATTTCAATGCAACTGATCTCTTAATTGAGAGTCAAAATTATTTACTCCCGGAACTGAATCAATTTATTTCTTTCAGAAATAATCATCCCTGGTCCTGGAGAACAATACTACTTAATTTTGGGCAGCTGTAAAACATTAGTATAACTATTAATCATATATAGTGTTATTTACCTGTCAGGATCCTGTAGTGATTTAAAATGATTTTATCATTTTGTTAAATTTGCATTCTGGAGTGCCATTTTGAATGCATTATGAATCATTGTAAAAATGAGTCTGTCATTTTTCAGAGGCTATAGTTACTTTTTCCTCCCTAATGGACGCATGCATCACAGAACATGACCTTGTGGTCTCTAGAACAGATGGAATTGCTCTAATTATACAGCTGTGTAGAAAAATATGCATGAACAATAAAAAAATAAGTGACTTTAACAATATTGATCTGTATTCATAACAAAGGGGACTTTAATGAAGAGTTTACAGCTTTCTTTCTCTAATGATAGTTCAGCCACTACCTGAAATCCCAAACCCCACATGTTATCACATCTCTCACTGAAAACACAAACAGTATTACTGAGTTGAAATTGTCTTTCAAGGAAAACAAATAACTGGCTATTAGTTCAATTAAAAACACTAAGGGGTTCAGGATTTAAATTGCATAAATCTGTTATTGTTCTTGACATGAACAAAGATAATATTAATTATGTTACTTCTCATGACACAATAAACCAGTAATACTCATGGACTCACAGGTCACAAGTGACTGCAGTTGACTTATGCTTTTATGTTCTAGCCCTTTCAGGTTTCATGCATTTCAACCTAACAGGTAACAAATACATTTAATCAAACTGTTAAAATATGGAATATACAGTATTCTTGAAACTTCCTTGGACCTCATGGTTGAATGTTTGCCTGAAATTCACTACCTAACTGAAAGGCCTTAGAGAGACTTATTTATTCTGAAATAATGTGAACTGTTATTGCATGCAGAGACCATTCAAATAATTTTACGACTTGTCAAAGCTATTTTGTGAACCTGAACTAAAGTGTGTCATAGAAAAGGGGGTGCATATTTCAGCATATTCTCCTTTTTTATTTTTATTTGTTGTTTTTGGTGACCTTTAACTTCTTTCACCAATTAAGGGTTTGAGTTTCAGAATCAAGTTTTGCTTAAAATAATTCTCTTTAAGAAATGCATACATTATTAGCATTTCATAAGAATGGGATATAAATTGAAGGAATGATTGTTTGCATCGCACTATATATTAACACACACTTGAAGTCAGACTATATAGATACAGAATACAGAATTTATATTTCTATATAGTCTAACTTTAAATTAGACTTTAAAGTTTAAAATTAGATACACGTATTATACATAATACTTAATTTAAATTACTAACCACTAGGGTATTGGTACATTTAATAGACTGCTAACAGATTACAAGTTATACAAATTTTAAAATTAAATCTCCACCCCTAATATAAAGTTTTATACTGTATATATAGTACTCGAGCCTCACCAAATATAAGTATAATTTTGATACTGTATACAGTATATGCACTGTTGGGTATAACTAGTTTCAAATGACTTAAAGTGATCTATATTTATTACTTAATAATTATATATGAAATTTAAATTATTTCTAAAGTACATTTTTGTACTTTAGTAATATAAGTAATATAATCACATTTTCATTAAATTTATAAATTTATATTGAAAATGATAAATACTACATGAAGTCAAAATCAGAAAGATTTTCAGCAGTTCAGTTAACCACAGGATTAAACTATATTTGGTAAAAATCTTATATCTTAAACGGGGTTAGAAGTCTTTCCCTTGAATATAAAAGGAACACAACATAGACGTTGCTGTAAGTTTTCATTGATTAGCAAGAACATAATCATGAAAGTTACAGGAGAGGAAGATAACACCTCTTTAGTTTTTGTTTTAATACTGGGAAGATGAGAGTGGAACAGAGGTACAGTATAGCTTACAGCTTTCGGCTTCTGAGGTCTGAGTTCCATTCTGTACTGGGGTGCCCTCTTGTGGAATGTGCATGTTCTCCCTCATGTGCTTGTGGGTATCTTTTAGATGTCTCAGTATACAGTACCTCCATCCTCCAAACATATGCTGACCGGGTCAATAAGGGTCTCAGAATTGTTCCTGTGTGCCCGCGTGCATGTCTCGCAATGGGACAGATTTAGTAAATCCTTGGGCCCTGTGCTTCCAGAATTTGCTCCAAATAACTGCAACCCTTATCAGAAGTAAATGGCCATCTGATAGAAGAATAACGAATTGGAAGACAGGCACCTATTCTTAATGCTTATCTTTCCCTTTTTTCACCCATTCTTATTTCTTATTTAGCTATGTTATTTGAAAGTCAAAGAAAAGGGGTTCTGCTGTGCTCCTCTGTCAATGAAGATGAAACACTAGGACTCACTTTTCTTTGCAGATAAATTCATAACTGCCCGAACATTATCTGTGAGGATATTGTTTTTTCTTTCAGGAAGCCTAATCTTCATATTTATACATTTTAAAATCGTCCTCTCACATGTAAAATCATTCTTTTTAAACATTACTTCATAGCCTTATATTCTTTATTCACACACTATCCTTAAGCATAGAAGCAGATATTTAATGTGAGTTTCATTCATATCTACCACACTGTGTTCTTTGCAGTTTACCTTTAAAACAAACTGTTCATCTGATTCACTTGATAAAATATTCTCAACAGTATCACTGTTCAGGTCATTCAGTGACAATAATCAGTTATTCCAAACAAGCATTTCCAAAGAAACACAGCAACAGCAACACAAAAAGCAAATAAAGTCTCTAGTGGCATGTTTGCCAACACAGGTCAAATGTAATCATGGGTTATGTTTATCAAGAGATCCTTTTAATTGTGGGTGGAATTAAGCTGATTTATATAAAGGTTTGTACATTTATTAAACAGGAATTGTTGATGGTAGTATTCCTCTTTGGTGTTATCAAGGTAATATCATTTAATTTTATTTTGCAGAGCCATAATAATGTATAATCTGCTACTGTAATATGTTTATGAATCTCTTTCAGTAAACATGTTTAAAATAACAAGTTTAGATTTAGTTTTCAAAACTTAAATAATGTAATGTTTTATTTAATCACTGTTAACATGCAAGGCTGAAAACTAAATAATAACATCATAATACACACTTTGGTTATACAGTATATGCAAATATTTGCAGTATATTGTAAGCACTGTTGTTTTGTTCTGCACTGAGAATTAAACTGATATTGAATAAACACTATTTGGAAATTTGATTTAGCCTTTATGAGTCATTCTGTTTCAAATTAACCATTGACACTAAGATAAAATAATATAGTAGGTACAGTAACTTCAGCAACATTATAAGCATTCTATGACAAAAAAACATTGCAGAAAGAGATATGAATGCTTTTGTCAGATGCATTAAAATCAATATTTCAGGTTAACTAGTCATCTAGAATTGATGTTTTCTGGGAAATTGAGATGTTGAGACAAATGAGGTGTTTCTTTCTGTGGATTCTAAAGACTTTTAGATTTTTCAGCGTTGTGAAACAGGGAGTTTACTGAGTTTACAAGTAAATACCACTAATTATATCAATAAACCACTAATGCTGTATGTGTTAAATGTTAACTAAGTCGCTGTATGTTTAAGCTAGATCAATTTGTGTTTCAGATTTCTTTCTCACTCCGAGGACATCGGTTCACCATGTCAGACACAAACCAGTCATCCATAAAGGAGTTCATCATTGTTGGCTTCCCAGGACTTCAGCCTCAATACCATTCACTTGTGGCTCTGGTTTTCTTTCTTGTCTATGTGACCATTTTGATTGGCAACATCCTGACAACTGCTTTGCTTTTCTTAGAAAGAAGTCTCCAGAAACCCATGTATTATATCATTTTAAACCTTGCTTTGTCAGACATATGCTTCAGCACGGTCACTTTGCCCAAGATCATTGTCAGGTATTGGTTTCAACTGAAGAGTATTTCATTTGTGGGTTGCTTTGTCCAGAAGCAGTTAGTACATTATTTTGGAACACTGAATTCATTCATCATGATGCTGATGGCTTTGGATCGCTATGTGGCAATATGTTTCCCTCTCAGGTACCACATGCTGATCAGCAACAGGACAATCTTGATCCTTAGTTGCATGCTATGGCTGATATCCTGGATCTTCCCCACTGTGACTACAATTCACCAGTTAGCACTATCATACTGTGGACCCAACACAATTAATCATTGTTACTGTGATTCTATTTCCATTACAAACTTAGCATGTGATGACCGTACCTTTAGTACAGTGGTTTCATTTGTTTTAGCTATGTTGGTGTTACTGGTCCCTCTCTCTTTTACTATATTTTCATACGGTCATATTATTATTTCAGTCCTGAGGATTGCAAGCACCCAAGGTCGGTACAAAACTTTTTCCACTTGTAGCACACAGTTATGTATCATTTCTCTCTATTATATTCCCCGCTGCACTGTTTATACAGCAAACTTGCTGCTTGTCATAATCAGCGCTGATTGGCGCATCCTCACAATCCTTTTATATAGCCTGCTCCCTGCCATGGTGAACCCACTCATATACTTCTTCAGAACTAAAGAAATCAAACAGAGCTTGATGAAAAGATTCAGAGGTGAAAAGATTGCTGTCCAAACTGAAAAAATCTCTTCCGTTTGCAATTGAAACAAAGCAAAGCAAAAAATGATTTAAAACTAACCAAGATAATAAAAACAAATATGTACTGTATAAATGCATTAGAAGCAGGAAATATTAAAACATCATGTAACAACGTATATTTTCCAAACAATGTCCCAGCAGTTTTTAACAGAATGCATCTCGAACAGAACAGTGAGGCCCAGAGTTCTTCCTTCATTCCTGAGAAGCATGAAGAATCTAACCTTTCTAAAGTCCCCTCTTCATTTCACAGGTGAAGCAATTTCTCATTTAAAAAACTATGAAATTGTCCTGCAGGCTCAGAGTGGCTGCAGTATGTCATCTCGATGGGTGTCGCACCTTACAGGTCGACATTTGAATCTTCTGTACTGTAGGTAAAGCACTTTGCGATCCATTGAAATAAATATTCCTAAAAAAATACAATTGATCATTATGTGACCAGCAGTACAATGCAATGGGAAATGTGCCAGGGCTGCCTATTCATGGTATGAAAATTATCTCGTTGTGCGTGATAAAGACCAGATGTGCAATTAAATCTTTGAGAACAGGAGTTGCCCATTCCTGTTCTTTTTCTGTTTTATCTGTCAAGAGCTTTTGATCATACCCAATATAAAAACAGACTTAAAAAAGCCAACAACAACAGGCTGGGAAAATGGGGTACTTTCCCTCATTGTAAAATAAGATGAGGTAATTGTTTATTCTGACTATTGGACAATATGTAATGCAATGACTGACATGTGAAATCAGAAATAGAAAGGTATAATTCCCTATTTCTCAGAAGGGAAACAACACATCACTAATTACATTTCCTGATAAGGCTCTTCAGAAGCTGCAGATCCCTCAGCTGCCCAGTAAATGCTAGTAACCTCAGAGGGGCAGAGGTAGTCTTGTGCATTATTGTAAAATATGGGAAATGATAACTTGCTCCTATTGCTTATAGTCTCCTATGGGAACAAGGGGAGAAAATATGTGTCCCAATATATTTAATTCTCCTTGAACTGAAAAAGGAAAACAAAACTGAAGGTTCTTCTCAAGGAATTTGAGCCAAATGCTCGACAGTGAGGCACTGTTTAAAATAGTTCAAGTAGGTAGCTGTGTCAGCATGTGTAGGCTGCAAAGGAACAAGTGAAAGGATTATTCCACGCTGAAAATAGAAGAAAGGAAACACTGTTTTGGCTGTGGAGCCTTCTTCTGGTGTTTTTATATTTGTTTAAAATATTAATCCAAGTTTAAAAAGTTAAAAAAGGATTAATGTTGTTAGGAGACCATGTTTCTCATTTGCTTATAGTGACTAGAGAGCAGAAAGGGACGGTTTCATGTCATAATTAATTCAAACTCTTGCTGTCGCCCTTGGTGAGGCCAGCAGTTTCTCATTTGCCTGCAACATGTCAACCATACAGTTGTAGCGGCAATGCTTGTTAATAAGACAGAATTAAGTGTTGCGGTGCTTTCCCAAATGAGGCCCCA